TCCAAATGTTCCTGCATCAATTTCCATGACTGGATGACCAATTAGGGTGCCCCACTCTTGATTTCGTGTCCCAGTTGACCGGAAGGGCTACTTACCCTTTTCGCAGACAAGGCGGTAAGCAACAGCCTCCAACATCTTCATGCTTTCTGTCACGTTCATATGATCATTTACCGGTGTGGTTGAGCCACAATCGGGATCTTCATATTCCGTAACAATGCGTTGGCTGACAAGCTGCTCACGGCTACCCGGTCGACATGAATGTCTGGCTCAATATTTGAATGTCTTGCGAAATATAAAATTTCAAGACAAATTATTTCAATTATTTGCATGCAAGACGATAGATATTTTCAAGTAGAAGAGAGAGTGAAAAGGAAAAAGCTATAACAAGGCTGATACAAAAATATATTTTTCGCGGACGACACAAGTGCCCCCGCGAAAAATTGAAATACAAATAAGTTTCATTGCCACAAAAATATACAAATAAGTTTCAGTGCCACAAAAGTTTTGAGTAGTGAATTTTGCTCGAATGTTGAGGAAAGTAGGATTTACGAGGCTAAAAGAAGGCTCGAACAGTCCAGTTTAAACTTTTTAAACATCGAGCAAAAGCAATTAGTCATTCAGATGCCAAGCTTGTTGCGGTCCTACTACTTTCTAATAGTCAGCTCAAGAATTTAAAGCTCAAGCAAAATTGTAGATGTTTAAACTTACTGAAAGGTCTCATTTTGGTTGTATCTGGAATCTTCTGGCTAGATGTTGCATCGTTTACGGTCTTTAAGTTTATTTTCATTTACCAGTAACAGTTAACACATTCAATTTACAAATAATTATATACAAATTATCCAACTGTCTGGAAGGGCCCACCTAAGAGTAGTTCAACTCATGATCGGTGTACCCCAGAAGGGACATGGAAGAACATCTTGAAAATTGAGGTGACAATTTATTTTTGAAAGCATATCAAAATTTGACGATAATTATCTTTGAAACTGAGATTGGGCCAATTTTTTTCTACGTCTGGTGGTATGAGATCAATACTCTAAACAAATTTATAAACTTGCGTTATTTGTCGTATGAGAGACATTTTAATCATTTTGTTTTTAGTCCTACTGTCTGTAAAAGGTTTGCTGCTGTTCTTTTTTTTTTTTTTTGACATAAGAAACATCATTTAAAATCAAAACAAATTAAGAGGTGAAGTTTTCCTCACTTGACAAAAAGCAAACCAATCTTGACTTCGTTTGAAAGTCTTGTCATCAGCGAACCATTCTTGACTTCGTTTTAAAGCTTTTTGAAATTCTATTTGATCATTGCTAAAAAATTTTGTGTCATCCGCCTAAAAACTGACTTCGTGTTACCAAATTGTAAAGACAAACTATTTATGTATATTAGAAACAGCATGGATCCCAAGACCGGGAATAACATATTTTTTTTAAAAAATTTCTGACTTACAGTTATTATAATCTACATGTTGAAGACTACTGGATAAATAACTTTTGATTAGGCCTAATCATTTTCCACGAAAACCGTTTAACTCAAATTTTTCAAGCAATTTTTCATGATTTTTCTTATCAAAAGTTTTTCTTACATCTACGAAGCAAGCTTGTGCTGTTTCCTTCTTAGCATACTTTTTTCGTAATTTTTCAGTGATTTCAATTAGTGCATTAGCGCAGGAATGTTTTGGTCGAAAACCAAAACGGTTATCACAAGGGTCTGAAAAACTCATCATTCTGTGAACGATTTTCTCGCCAAAAAGTTCATTCATCAATTGACATTGATAAACCAATGGGTCTGTAATTACTTTCAAAAGTAACAAAATCATCTTTGTATACTGGAATAACTCGGGCAGTCGGAGCTCTAGATCGGAAGGACAGTATCCTTCCTTAAACCTTGTTTATTTCAATGATATAAACAATTAAAGATCAGTCAGTAGTTGACTAACAACTGAAAAAGCTTGTTTTTTTTTACTTCTTCCATCATGACTAGTACTATTGCCATTTTCAAATTTTAAATTGCATCAGTTGTTTTTTCTGTTGTATACGGAGAAACAAAAGCAAAAATTTTGCAGATCCTATTCGATTGATTTTTTTTGCTTACCGAAATTGTTTTTCATCTTTTCATCGATACCAGAAACATATGTTTTAAAATTTTATGCAGTTAACATAGTTTGCTGAGACTTACTTGTTTTACCCCATAGTGATCGCAGTGTAGAGAATAGTTTTTTAGAATTACTCAGACTATTTGTACTTCTGTCATAAAAATCAATTTTGGCGTTGCGTAATGTTTCGTCGCAGATGTTTTGTTGTTTTTAATTTGCTTTTCTCAATTTTCCGGACTTGATTTTGGATCCAGTTTAAGAAACATTTATTTTTCTCATGTCTCTGTTTTTGGCAATTTTTAGTAATCCAACAGTTTTAGACATTTCGATTGATTGAAAAGGAGCAGAACGATTTATAGCGCCAGTGTTACCTTGTGTTATATAATCCAGTTTTTTGTTAATTGAGGTATGTAATAAATTGAGGAGAGCATAACGATCGCTTATTTTGCATTGCAAGATCTTAGCGTCATTGAAACAACTGCTTGTAAAATGATCGATGCATGCAGATGAAGTACTTGTTACTCCTGTTGGCTCAAAACTGTTTACTTGCAAATCATACATGTTGATAATTTCTTGATAGTTCTTTTGTTTCAACCTGCTCTTAGATATATTAATACTAAAATCTACACAAATCAGTATATCATCGTTTTTATTACTAATTTTATCATTTAACCCTTCAAACATTTGCCAATTTTCTAAAATTTTTACCCATGGCGGTCTATACATCAAATGGCACGTTAAAATCTTCTCATTTTTTCTTTTTCTTAAGTCAATCAGAAAATTTTCCAATTTATCGTTTTTTCTTAGTATGTACTCTTTGCCTGAAAAAACCTGCTTCACGTAAAAAACCAGACCCCTAAGTTTTCAGTCTCTCTTGGTTTAGATAGAATAAGCTTATAATTTTTAATTTTATTATAGCACAAAGGATCATTGCTTGCTAGCCAGGTTTCACATAAACCTATTAAAATGGGCTTGAATTTAAACTTTTTATGCGGGAAAGTAGCTGTTCATGATGGTAACGAAGAGACCATACATTATGAAAAAGTGTTGTTTGCGTTCCAATATCATTCAATTGATGTTCTCCAATCATATTTAACATATGAACAAAAAAGCGCTCAGTGTTTGATTGTTAATGGTCAAGAAACCCAATCACTAACAATCAAACACTGAAAGCAAAATCGCTGATTCATTGGAACAACGAAGCGAATGACCTGAAATCACTCACCCTAAAAAAGTTTCTCCTTGGTTGATCAATCATATCTCTCATTAACTGTTCTAATGCCGACGAATTTTCGCTTCTGAAAAAAAGCTATAGAGCTACACCTGCATATGCAGACATGATTTGACCCTTTCGGTCGAGTGAATATAAGTGATTATTTATAAGATGATTATTTTGCTATATTGACAATTCTGTTAATTTTTTCCAGTTCTTAAATTGCTTTTTTTTATTCATGCATTTGACTCGAGAAACAACATTTATTGAAGCAAAGTACCAAAAAGCTCCTTTCCAACTCAATTAACTTTTAGTGTTTGACTATAAAAAAGCTCAGAAAAGCTATTTAATTCTTTTGTTCCAGCAGAACCTGAAAAAGAGATCGAAACAAACGGAGAAACTCTAAAGTCGCCAGCCGAATCAGCTCATTGGCAGCTCATTTCGTATCTGGGCAAGAAACCAGCTGATCCGGTCGTGATGTCAACTGCAGTTTCATCTGCAGAATCTGATTGGCTCAGACTGGAACAGCCAATCAGATTCTTCCACGCGCCATGACTGGCCAAACTGGATTGGATGTGGAGGGTCAAATATTCGGTGTCTGCATCTATTACTGCTCCATCTACAAACAAACTTCACAATCTCAAGAGTTCCTATAGAACAATACTTTAAAAAAGTGGAAGAGTTTTTTGTAACCTTTTTCTTTGTCTCAAACAGGGGCGGATCTAGGGTTTTATCGAGGAAGGTGGGGCGGATTTTCGCAAAAATTCAAAAACTTTGTCGTTTTTTTTGATCGACCAAATTGATTTTGCAAACTCTCCCAAAGCACTAAAAAGACCCTTTACTGGGCAAAACGTCTTCCCCGCAAGCAAAATTTTGAAAAACTCGTCAAAACGCGGTTTTTCGGCGCGCGCTGCCCCCTCAAATTAGTATATATTGGCGCCCACGGCGCCTTTCCAAGTTTTTAGAGGGTCTGTCACCAAAAATGGATATCTCAAAACAGTACAAAGGGGGAACCCTTTGGGTTGACAAGGGGTCGAATTCCTAAAGTGAAAGTCCACCCTCAACCCCGCCCCCTAAATCCGCCCCTGATTTAAAATTGTGACAGAGAATGTATTCGAAATTAATATCCAGAGCAATATTTTTACTTTCAGCCTCTTCACTTTTTTGCAGTTCTCTACTTAATCCAATTACTTCTCAAATTTTTTTTTCTAATTTTTCTAAATGTTTTCTCGTTTTTGATTATCTATTTTAATTATTGTGATCGAAAAATTCTGAGCTACTTGTACAGCAACTAGTTAGCCTTCTGCATTTTTCTTTGTCTTTATGGAGGTCAATTCAAGATGGCCCACAGCTAGATATCATCTGAGAGCGCAGCTGATATCAGATCTTCCCAATTCCTTCCCCAGATCGACCGATAATTCCCATTTCTGACTTCGCCTTGCTTCTTGTTTCATTCAAAACATTTTTAATTCATAGATTTATTATTAAAAACTGGGCGAAAAAAAAAGATAAACGTGCTTTGGTTTCTTTAGTGTTTGTTGTATTTTTTCTCGATAAACAACTTAATCTCGACAGAAACGCAGTAAAATAACCAAAGAAACCAACCGCATTTACTAACTACTATTATTATGGACAGATCTAGAGTTCTATAGAAATCTAATATCTAATAGTTTATCTTTTAGATTTTAATAATTCAAATCCAAATTGCTATCTACAAAAGCTATCAAAAGGTAATAATTTCAGTTTTTATTTACAAAATGCGCTGAATGTTTGTATGCCGCATAGTTTCTTATTTTTCCAAAAGCGTCCTTCGGATATCCACCACCTTGTTTTTGTTTGTTTCTCCTGGCTCATCAAAAGATGTTCAAGAGAAAGATGTAGCCATTAATGGCAACCAGAATCACGGCCATTTGACCCGAGATCGTTTTTGCTGTCCCGCGGGTCTCAGTGAAGAGGGGTGTGTGACCTCGTAGCAGTACGTTCATCTCATCTTGGAATGATTCGGCCGCATGCTCTCGGTTCAATTTGGTCATCTGGTCTGCTTTTTGGACCGATTCTTCGAGGGCCTGGAACACTGTGGCAAAGAAGAAATCGCCAGTCAGGGAAATGTCTCGCATGCAGGCCTCGTCATTTTTGCATTGCTGAAATTTATAAATTTTTCAGATCATTTTGTACTGCAGGGCAGTTTTTCTAAAGCAAATTGTTTTTTTTCCCCAGTTCTTAAATTGCTCTTTTGTTTTATTTATGCATTTGACTCGACAAACAACTTAGAATGAAGCAAAACTATCAAAGAGCTTCTTTTCAAACTGAATTAAACCTTAGTGTTTGACTGTAAGTAAGCGTGGAAAAACTATTCAATTCTTTTGTTCCAGCAGAAACTGAAAAAAAAAGATCGAAAGAAACTGAGAACCTCCACAGCCGCCAGCCGAATCAGCTCATTGTCAAACACTATGTCGTATCTGGGCTGGAACCCAGCTGATCCAGTCGTGATGTCATCAGCAAGTTCATTTTTGATTGGCTCAGACTGGAACAGCCAATCAGATTCGTCAACTCGCCATGACTCACCAAATTGGTTGTGAAGGGTCAAATAGTCGGTGTCTGCATCTATTACTGCTCCATCTACAAATAAACGTGCATCAAGAGTTCCTATAGAACAATATCTTTAAAAAATTGTAAACGTTTTTTTGTAAACTGATAATTTGACAATTTTAAAAGCTTGAAAAATTGTTCGATAATTTAGCATGTCTACACATTGATTCAACTTCTAAATCAAAAATCAAGATTGAGTTCAAGTACTTTAAGTCAAAGTTTAATTCTCATTATTTAACATTATTACCTAACTAGCTTAGGTATTAGCTCATGCAAAACGCAACTGAGCAAACTCAAAAAATAAAGTTTTATGACATGACCTTTAGTCGTATAGTCGTTCTCGGCGTTTCCGTCATAGTATCCCAGCAACCCATACATTTTGTACTTGAAAGAAGGCGGCACAGATGTCATCAAGTTAAGAAAGGTACCCGTCACCAACACCTGCACAACTAGTCCGGCATCTTGAACGTTCACCTTCAAATCTGTTCTGTCAATATTTGTTTCCACTTCAAAAATACCCACGGAAAACTGGTCAAATGTATCCAGGTTCACATCTTGGTTGTTTATTACAAGTGCGAGCTCCTTGTTTTTGTTCAGAAACAGTTGCAATGTGTCACTAGAGTGTTGAATCGCAACACCCGAGAACACGCTTCCGTCGCCCACTCGTCGAGTGCTCGCTTGGACTATCGTCGAATCATCCAGTGTTGTCTCAAGGAGGGTGAAGACTCCAATCCCATTGAATGGGTAGCTCTGACCATCGACCGCCTGAAAATCCGGGTCCCCACGTCCAAAAAGTATATTTCTAGGCCAATAGTTACCTACAATGGTCGGTCGATGAGCTTTATAGGCTCTGCAGGCATCGGGGTTTTCAGACTGCAAACAGCAATACTTAAACGGCTGAATGTCAGCTAGATAATGAGCGGCCATTGTGGGAACTGAGTTGATCTGAAGGTCCATGCTCCCAGGGGCCGTAGACTCATCGCTCGCCTGGATTAAATCGCCAGTTCCTGGTTTATAGCAGCATTGGTTCGACACATATATGATATTCATTGAATTTTTCTCAAAACATGCAAGTCTAGGAGACCTGATACAAAAATCAGCGCCTTGGTTGAATTCGCAGTAGGACTTGTTGCAGAATCCGATGTCATGCAGCCTTTCTCGCAATTCTATGTCGTGGCTACAGCAGATGTCATACTTCCAGCCAGCGATCCCGTTGAGTACTTCTTGCTGGGCCCATTCTGCGTCAGTCCAATCGTTGTTGATTCTGTCAGAACTCACTCGGCGAGGACAGCCGTACCATTTTTCTAGATGACTGCTACAGAACGAGTAGTCATTTCCAGATTCTTCTTCGTCCCATTCCATGCATTTTTGATAAGCGCCTTCAGTAGATTCGACATTAGGTGAAGTCGCTACCAGTGAACTTCCAGCCACTAAACATAATATTTGTAACAACTTAGTTCCACTGTGAACAATTAACAGGTCAACCAATGTTTGTCGTATGTTGAAACCCTCTGCTAGGGCTTCTACTATACAAATCTTTGGCTCTTTTGCACTCCCCCCATTTGAATTTCAAGTTTGAAAAACTAATTCAACATTTGTCATAATGGGCTCTTTTTCAGTTTCCCACCCCCTCAAAAAAATTACAAAATTAAAAATTGTTCACACGGCTGTTTAAAAATTGTTCACACGGCTGTTTAAAAATTGTTCACACGGCACTTTATATGAAAGAAATGTTGTAAAAATTTGTTCACTTGTTCACGCTGACACGTTTTAATGCAGTTTATGTTGAGAAAAGTCATTTTAAATTGACTTCCATATATTGAATTTCAGAAAAATCAAAGGGGGGGGGGGAACTGGAAAAGCGCCTCATAATGTTATGAAATTTTGCATTGTGAACAAACCAACAATTGTGAACAGCTTAGGTCTTCATACTTAACATCGTAATAACACGCATTTAGCCGTTTTAACTCGTAAGGCTAATATGAAAACAGAACATTTTAAATGTTGATGGGGGGATGGGGAATGGAAAAGAGCCAAGGTTTTTATCCTGGTTAAAAGAAGTTACGATATGGCATCATTTTTGAAGCTCAATTGACTCGAGCATAGAATACTAAACATTACCTGTTGCCGGCTCTGAGTTGTCATGGAGAGTAAAAAGCGACTAGGTCGAATTCGGTATCCAGTAGTTCAACTTGAGGGGCAGATCCATCTGGATTAACGAGCACACTTTCTGTGTGCGCTGTATTGTCTGAAACATTTTTGCACGAGTGCTTATTTTATAAAAAAAGAAAAAATTTTAAGCTTGGAAACACAATATATATCAGGAATTATACAATTTGTCCAATTTGTTGGCGAGCAACATTTGTTTTTAAATAATGGCCAGATATTTTTCATTTTATTAACGAACAAACTAAAAATACTTGGTTATCTTCATGAATTGAAAATTGTTATGCTTTTCTGGTAAAACGTTCTCGAAAAGTTATGATAAAATTAAAACCTGAAGCGAGAAATCGTGTTATGTGAAGTTGGGCCTCGGCTGAAACTCTGGGCGGCATGGATTCAAAAGCAAAAGTTGACAGTCCATTTTCAGATGCAGCCGTCACATGGAATGTAAATTGGTCAGAAAGCTGGGAATAGGAAACCAGTTTTTCCGGTAAAAGCAGCCGGACTCCATTTACAAGTATGAATACCTTTACATGTTGGTCTGCTGAAAATGAGTAAGGGGCAACACCGGAAAGTATTCCGGATTGTCTGTCATATACAAGCTTTTCTGCTTGTCCGTTGCCAGCTTTGATGTCAAAAATGACCTCGATGCTATCAAAAAATGGAATTTCACAATCTGCAATCGAGAACTGCTGTTGTCCATCCTTAATCGCAAACACTTTCGGCTGGATTTCACCTGGACAATGCACCTCGTTTTCTGCTCCTGCGCCATAGACGTCTCTGATTGGTTGGAAGGAAGGGCCATCTGCTTTCTGGTTTATTTTCACAATAAACAGGCCTGGTATGTCACAATTAGTCAACGCCCAGATGTTGCGCATCTCAGGAGTTCCCGAAAAGGGGAGCTCGTAGACGTTTCCTGAAAATATCAAAATGTGCTCATAATTCATCTAAACTATATTTTAACTCAATTAAATTCTATCGCCAGATGCTACCAATTTAAGATTTTTTATGGGATACACTTTTGTCATTAAAAAAAGTAACCAAGATGGGAGAATCGGGTTTGGGAGTCAAAACTGCTCAAGTTAAAGAACTTGAATGTGATAGCGGCTGCGACGTGGCTTAGTTGATCCTCGTTTGTCGAATGCGGGACAACTTTTCTAGTCGAAAAACTAAATGGAAAAAGCATTTTTAAGTATTTATCAGAGCATAATGTTGTAAGGTCAGTGTTCAGAAAAATGTAAGCAGAAGCCAATGAAAAGCAGCATTTTTTCAAGAAAAATTTTTATTGTCAGATAAATGCGAAAACTGATCTAAGTTATCAAACCAAAATTATCATTGAATCCAGCACGAGCGGACGTAGCAGCAGAAACAGTATTATCAGACCATCCAATCTCGACGTAGTCGAGGAGTGAAAAACAGTCATCGTCTTCAGGAACCCCGGTTTCGGCATCATTGCAGACGATTATGATCTGGTAACTATTGAATCCATCAATTCTCTGTTGAAAAGCGCCAACTTTGTAGTATGTCGCCACATAGCCGATTCTTGCAACAAATCTTGTTTCTTGATTGACTTGTTGAATCAACTCTGTGAGAAGATTGAGATCACTTTCAGAAGTGATCTTTCGCTTGAAAATGTTGTTGGCCAAATTGGCTTTGGTGTTCGACCCCATCAGATCCAAAGTTATTTCATCGTCAAATTGTACGTTCAAATCTTGGGAGTTGAAAGCTGTTGAACGCCATGCCTCCACTTGAGACCTCAAAGCGTCGTCGGCTATGTAATCCGAATTCAACCATTGGTAAAATACTGGGTTTGAATTGTACAAAAATAGTTCACAAATATCCTCTTGAACAATCGGGTAATAATCCTGCTGAGTGTCGTAGTTGATCATAGAGCAGCCATAGTCAAGCAAGTTGTCGTATGTTTGAACATCGCTCAAGTAGGCAGCCAATACTGGACTACCCGGCGAGTCAAAAAACGAAGGGTCGTAATTAGAATTTTCGCGCCCGAACGACAAGTATCCATTAGTACATACATGCACAGAGTCATATTGATGGCTACCGAACCGAATCGAGCGTCCGAGATCCTGTTCCGTCGAACAAGTGTCGTCTCCTTTAATCAGGAAAGTGTCGCCAAAAGAGTGGCCAAATGGTAACACGAATTGGTCGTGCCAGTTTTGAGCGCGGCCAATGTTGACCAAAGCCAGAAAAATGAAAACCGGACAAGTTTTCATTTTGACCAGTTTTAGATACTCTACTTTTGAAAATAGCCGATTTTTTATTTTGTCGTCTATCGTAATTTAAAATCCAATTATTTACGAGCAATTAAACAAATTTTACTGCACAAAAAGATTTCATACTTTTTATTAATGCATTTTTGTGTTCAAATTATTATATTTTTTGTGGTGTTTGATACCTAAGAAGTACAATGCACATGGTTAGTAAATATTGATTTTTTTAAAACAAAACCATCACGAGTTATTTTAGCTCAGTTTACCAAGTCATATGCCTTGCTGGAGGTATTACTCTCGAACCGGCCTGCAAAATAAATTGTACACTATTAGTCGAACCAACAACCAGTCGAACTAGTGGAACCAGTCGAACTGGTGGAAAAACTAGTATTTATATCCAATTATATTATTGATAAAACTATCTCTGTAAAGTATTTCTAACTAACCAATCATGATTCATAACTAACGCTTCCCATAAATTGTATAGCTGAAACTATTCATAGTTTCAGCAAACAGAACAGAATAAATATAATTCAACAAACAGTCCTCCTTCAGAATAGTTCCTGATACCTTATCTCGCAGATACCAGTATACACTAGATCTATCGAGACTAGGAGATATAAGAGAAAGATTAAGATCGGTATTAGAATAAGAAGTTGTACGAATCTATCCGGCCGAAAATTAGATAGCTTGACGAACAGACAGTGTACCTTATCTAAAATTACTTTATAAGTGAGCCATCCCGCCCGCATCCAAGTTTAGGAGTAAATAATCGATTATAACGGATTATTAGGATGATTTTTTGACAATTACAATCGATTATAATTACCAAAATTAGATCTTTAAGGGATTTATAATTGATTATAATCGTGTATATTTTCCAAGAGATTATTATCTCTTATAATCGATTATAATTGATTATAATTGATTATAGTTCTTACTAAAAACCCTTAAAATTAATTATAATCGATTATAATCGATTCTAATCTCTTATTTTGCCGAAATTTTCTTATATTCGAAATATATCTTATGGGTTATTTTTTTGTGTCAATAAGAAATCTCTGAAAGAGAGATCTCTTGAACACTTTGGTTCATCTGAACATAAAGTTATACCACGAAACAAAAGTTTCATAGAGATCTTTTCATATGAGTGGAAAGGTTCTCGCGGTAGATGAAAAATAAATTTTCCGAATCAATCATGAAACTAAATCAATCTGCTGATGTTTTGGTGTTTAAAAAAGCATAAAATATGCATCACAAAACAACTCTGATGGGGAAGAAATGAAAAAAAAACATATAAATTTGAATTAATTGGAAAACTTTAAAAACATTTTTCTCATTTTTCATAGGAACCAACGTACACAAAAAGCATAAAATATAAGCAATTTAGATGCAACTTCGAAGACAAAAATGGACAAACAAAAGGGATTATAATCAATTATAATCAATTATAATGGATTTTTGTGCAAAACTAATAAAATAGAAATTTGAATAAAAAAAATGGATTACAATCAATTATAATTATCTGAAGAAAAAAAACCCACCCCGAGCACAAATATTCCGTTACTTTCGTATCGAAAGTCGGAACAAAAATATAAGCAATATAGATGCAACTTCGAAGACAAAATGGACAAACAAAAAGGATTATAATCAATTATAATCGATTATAATGGATTTTGATGCAAAACTAATGAACTGGAAATTTGAATAAAATAAATGGAATATAATTGATTATAATTGTATCGAAAAATAGACGAATAAATTATTAATTATAATCGATTATTATGGATTATATTTAATTATAATTTGATTTTAAAAAGATAGGTTATAATCGATTATTAATTGATTGAAATTGATTGTTTCTCAATTATAGTGAGACTGGTACTAAAATCGTAATATAATCGATTATAAACGCTTGAAACTGGATGCGGGCGGACTTAAACTCACTAGTCTACAGATAGACACAGTCACAGTTGTGTCTTATACATATCTCGACAACAAGTTGCACAATAGAAAACCCTCTTAAAGTCGATAAGATATAAATATTATTAGTAAGGAGGGTGATGGCTTTTTTGGTTGATTTGGAGTCGTCTTTTATACTAAGAGTTTTGTTAATTTTTTTCCTTAATTTTAAAAAATTTAAGACTATTGTTTTTGTGATAAGCACCTGGGCGAGCCTGAAAAGGATTTATCACCGGGCAAAAACTTTAAGGGTTTGAGGGTTGGTTTAGTCAATTTTTGGGAGTTGGTTTGATCTTCTACATACAAAAACAAGAATTTACTGGGCAAGTAGTTTATAAAGCGACAGAAAAATTATCCATTTTCTTCTTTTTCTTGCAGAAGTTCGGGTCGCTGTTTTTCGGAGAGAAAAAGAGGTTGCCCCCAAAACCGGAGAACTAAACGTAATTGAGGCCAGGAATGTGCAAAAAGCTTTAGAACTTAAAGTTGATTTCTGTTATCTTACATTATTTGGCTCTATCATTCGACTGTTTTCAGTTTCGATTCGTTGAACCACGTAATTTTATTTATAAAATACCTTTAGCAAATCTAAATATCCGTCTAAAACCTTTATTGATAGCTCGTCACATTCATATGATATGGTTGTCACAGCACTCTTGAGCAAAAACTACTTTATTGGAGCTACTTTTGAGCAATTGACTATCCCCTGGACCAAGAACGTGATTTCAGCTGTTTAAACGATGAACGCCAGTTTTGAGCGATTGAAAAGTAACTGAACCAAACGCGTTTAACTCAATTGTTTGAGTTGAGGCATCCAAAACAAAATCAGTGTGAACAACTAAGAATTCATGCGTTCTAATTTTGTTAACTTCAATAGCTCGCGGTTGTTTTTTTTTCTCCAGACAACATTCGACTTTTTAACTCATCATTTTTGAAAATGTTTTTTTTCTATATCATCCGAAAATCTTTGTTTTTCTGAGCTCAAATTTAGAAAAATATTCTACCTATGATCCTTTTTTCTAAAATTATTGTAGTTTAAGGATTGCCAATTCTGCAAATTTCGGAAAATCAACACGCGATGTTTTTCGCGCTATCCTCATCCTGTTTCAAGGGCTAATTATTGATTATAAAGAACCAGTCCTACCACAAATGAGAAAAGTCTATATAATCAATTCATAATCGATTTTAGAAAAAATATTAATCAACTATAAAACATTTTATTTGACTATAATCCACCTTTTTATGAACCTTATTAAGAACCAGTCCTACCACAAATGAGAAAAATCTATATAATCAATTCATAATCGATTTTTGAAAAAATATTAATCAACTATAAAACATTTTATTTAACTATAATCCACCTTTTTATGAGTGCACAAAAAATTCATTTTCTTGTATCGAAAGATTAAAGTATCTTGGAAAATATCACGATTATAATCAATTATAAATCCCTTAAACACCTAGTTTTGGTAATTACCTTAACATAATAATCCGCTATAAACAATTACTTAAGCCCAAATTCGGATGCAGGTATTGGAACCAGATACAAACTATATTTATTATTGGTTATAAATTGGATATTTTATCTCTATAAAATATTTAATATTAACCAATCACGATCCATCTAACTAACAAACCACTTATTTGAAAGTGCTGAAATTACTTGTAATTTCAGCACCAGAGAGATTTGACTTTAACTTAGAAATTAGTTACCTCTCCAAGAGAACTTAAGCAATCGCAATAAGCCAGTATACTCTAGATCTATTGAGCCTAGCAGAGACTAGTTAAACACCCCGAGACTAGTAGATATAAGAGTAAGGAGTAAGATTAGGATCGGTATTAGACTAAGAAGTTGCACAAATCTATCCGGCCGAAAATAAGATAGCGTGACGAGCAGACGGTGTACCCTATCCGAAATTACTCTATGAGTTACACCTCGAACCTAACTCATCTGGTGCAACCATAAATCTTGAACAAGACCTTAAAAAACAAATTAGCTTAGAACTAACAGATAGATTAGAATTAGACAAAAACATTTTAAATTGTTACATGATAATAATCTAATTGAAATGTCTCTACGACTCAATAGATCAGAACCGCTATTCCGTACAATACTAGAATTACCAGGTATTGGAAGAAGACCTCGGACAAGAGACGATCTACGACTACGAAGAAACTTACCACTAAGTTTCATGGTCTTACGGCGAAAGCCAGAACAAACTTTTATATTTAGAATTTTACTAGCAATGAATTTAGATTTTCATCTGCAAACATAAATCCTTGAAGAAAAATTTTCAATGATTATTTCAGGCGCTAAATCCCATTTACTATTGTACAATAACAATTTTTAAAAACACCTCAAATAGTTTCCTCTAAAACTGCAGTAAAATTTGAAAAGATATCTGAAAAATATATTTATTGAAAATAAAAACTTAAAATTAGTTAGCATGATCATAAATTGTTAGTATATATAAATCATCATGGCATCCCGAGCTTCATCACCTAAACATAACAGCAATCATTAAACCATTAATATCATAAAACACTAAATTTTTCTATCAGATAAATTTAAACTACCTTTAAAGGCTTATCCAAATTTTTACCTCTATTTCATTTCAACTTGCTCAATCTTAAACTAGATCATCAAGGCTTTCCTTGGATCTTGATTAAATAATTAAATTAAATCAATTTTATACTATAAAAATTATATCCTGATCATCAAAGCCTATCCTTGGATCAAATAGAACAATTTTGTTCTCCCCCACCCAATAATAAAAGGTCTAACGACCTCAAACGTCAATTCACTACCCAATCTTTTCAAAGACCCAGGACTAATAGAAATTTTTCAATCACGCTAACCATTCAAATTAAGTTAAACAGTGAAGAACTTCGGTTATTCATCCTTGACTTAATCCCCCCTCTTACCTGACCCAAGGCTAAAGCTTAAACCTTAGTAAGTATTAAAATAGTTTCTAACGAACTACCTGTGTTCTAGGTATACCTGAACCTTGTGAATCGACTTACTATTCTCCAACCTTTGAACACAATCACTACCCCTAAGTAAGATTATGTAAGTTAACACCTTAAATTAGAGTAGCCACGAGGAAGTAATAATCATTCTTCGGAATCGATAAATACATTTCCCTCCAACCCTGAACAAAGACCCAAGTTAGGCTAATCAAAAAATTGTAAAGACTAACAGTCTAAGATTTTAAAATTACTAATAACAATCTTGCACCCTTCATC